TCCGGGTGGCTCTGTATGAAAATGTACGTTTGCGGGGGTGTAAGGGTGGTGCGCATCAACCGAGCGGGTCCTGAGATGTATTTTAGCGAAATCTCGGGGTTGTTTATAGGCGCTTATGTGAGCTAAGCGGCACCAGCTGATCATTCGTTCGCGTCCTCTTGTCGGAAAAGGATTTCGCGCGAGCCCTATAGGTCAGGCTTTTCGCGTGATGACGCATCATCACACTTGTCATCTCTCAATAAATTTCGAAGCTCAAAATGTGTTATCCAAAACACGCTCAAGACATTAATAAATTCTACATTCCGACTGAAAGATCGTTAGCAGAGTTGCTTATGAAGATCGAAGAAAAAGTTCAATCTGACACAGAAATGCTTAGCGATGAAAATGAATTAATCAATAAAGCATATGATGATTGTATTCAAAATGAAGAATCTAAGGAAGTGATGTATTCACTATACTCGTCAGAGATAGATACGTGTAGTATATATGGCGAAGTAAATTAATGAACAGGTATATATAAAATAGTTGACGTCGATATCAATTCATTCATGGTGTATATCTGCAACAGTCAATATCTATGCTAAAATCAAAAATGGAAATTTTACAAAACGTTTTAGAACACTTCAATACGATTGAAGAAGCTATAAATCTTATTATTTCTAAAAACCTATGTGATGAACTAATTACACCGGTACACAAAAAAAAAATAATCTGTATTTTTGGGGAGACATATGTACTCTTATATGTTTTGACTCGCTGAATCTGAATCCGTAGTCAGATATGCTAGTATATGTCCAAAATCTTGCGCAAAAGCGAAAAATAGCTTAAAATTGTGAAAAAAACGAGGAAAATCTACGTTTTATACTAAAATATCGAGCACTTGAATTTTTTCACATGTAAAATAGATATATTTCTTACGTATTTTTACGCGCTGAATCTGAATCTACCATCAGAATCAATCGGGCACCCCCAGTTTCTCGAAAAATTCGAAAAACAGCTCAAAATCATTGGAAACTGTAAAAGATCGACATTTTTCACTTTGAGTGCAAGCCATACAATTTTTTCACGTATAATAAGCATATTTCTCAATTATTTTGACTTGATGAATCTAATTCTGCTGTGAGAATTGACCGGACACCCTAAGTCCTTCAGAAAAGTCGAAAAACTTCTTCAAATTGTGAAAATATGAAGAAAATTCGACATCTTTTATCGTAAAAGCATAAATTTGAGATCTTTTCTACACAGAATGAACACGTTTCTTAAGTAACTTGACTTGTTGAATCTAAATATGAGCTTTTCTCAGCTCTTTTACCCTTCCAAATTAGAAAAAATTTGACATACTGCGTAAAAAATCGAAGATTTCAAAAAATAACAGACAAGAATTAGAAATATTTTGATTTAACTTTTTCCATCTGGTCAAACATATTTCTCAACTATTTTAACGCGCTAAATCTACCTATAGAATCATTTCACTGAAGATATGAACCGTTAAAATATAAAAAAATAAACATACTCAAAAAGAAAAGGAGCTTACAGTTACTCTTTTCTTCTCTTGTAACACACTCTTTTCTCATCGAACGATCTATGGAGTGGGTTTCTCTTTCTCTTCTCACTCTTTCGATCTGTTGTTCTTTTCAGCGTCCAACATAAATCTGCCATCATGTTAACATCCCATCTACCTTGATATCGTTTTTCCATTTCACTTATATCTTGGTGGAATCGCTCTCCTTGTTCTTCACCGAAATCTCCCAGATTTTCAGAAAAGTAGTCAATGTACGAGTGTAAAAAGTGCAGTTTGACGTTCATAAGATAACTCAAGTCTCTGTAATTTTTCAATAACCCTTACCAAAAAAATTCTTATGTTTTCACTCCTGATATTTGATGATTTTATTTTATTAAATTTCTGATCTTAGGAGTTATCCCTGTAAATAATTACACACCTTGTTTTTCTTGTAAACGTTTCGCAATTCAATTTATTGCCACCTCAGTATACATCTGTTAAATATATAAATTGAATAATTTCAAATCAAATATAGTAATAAATTAAATATAAACCTACGTTTTTTTAATATGCTTTGTATTGCAATGTTGATTAAAATAAAAATTATTTCCTCACATATATAACGTCAATATAAAATTATAACATCAATTAAATAAAACAATAATTTTTTGTCAGTACGGTATAAACACATCATGTCCAAGCAAATTAAAATTAAACTGATAGAATACGTTTGTATATGCTCCTAGTAAGTCACTCACGCTGTATAAGAATAGAAAGAGAAAGATTGAATGGTCTAATAAGAGAGATATGAAGAGTGGGGAATACAAAAGAGGAAAAGAAAGATCAGATCATGTTAATCTCATAATACTATTACTAAATAGACCTAATGATGTTAAATATTCTCGAATATTGGTTGCTGAGATATTTTGTATCTTCTTGTGAATTAATGGTATTATCCGTAATTTTAATGTGTACTGATTCTGCGATGCATCTTTTTTTGTAATTCTGTTCTACATGTATAATTTTTGTGTTATCCCAATCAAATTCATGTTTCGGATTATTCACTATATGAGCTGGTATAGGTAGATGTCTAAATCTAGGGTTACTTGGATCTTGAATCGTTTTTTTTACCGAATATTTATGTTCATTGATTCTAGTTTTTAGAGCTCTTTTGCTTTCGCCTATGTAGTTAGATGTATATTGTTTACATTCAACATTATAAACTATACCTGTTTTTTCATATTTTATTAATTTATCTTTGCCTAGAACAATAATATTGGATAACTTGTTAGTCATTTTTGGTATGCAAACAAGGTTACTCTTCTTTAATGTTGATTTACATTTATAGAAAAATTCTTTTTCGAATGGAATTGGAAAGTATATTGTCTGTTTTTTGTTATTGTTTTTATTTTGTGTAATGTTATGACTGTATGTGTATTTTCTAATGCGATCTTTAATGCACGAATTTACAAATTCTTCAGGATAGTCATTATTATATAATATGTTTTTTACAATAGATATATTATTGCTTTACTTAGTAGAGAAAAAGATAATAATAATACGGACACTGAAAACTCTTTAAATGATATTAGAAACATCTTGATTAAAAACATTGAGTCCAGTTTCAACAAAAAAAGACACGTTAAAAAATCAGATAACAATTTTAAAAAAAAGCTCAAAGCAACTAACATGTTTCTAAAAGAAAACAAAAACCTTTTTTTCACTAGAGCTGACAAAGGCAACATTACCGTATGCTTATACAGAAATGAATACATTGAAAAAATGAATTCGCTGTTGTCAGATAACAGTACCTACACAATCTGGGAGAAAAATAACCCTTTAACCAAAATACAAAAAGATGTTCAGTATTTCCTTACAAATTTCAATGAAAAAGGATACATAAAAAAATATTTCCCGAATATGCTTATTAACCAATTTATCCTCACACAATCCCATACAACACTAGCTAGAGCATATGGACTTCCAAAAATCCATAAAAATCACATTCCACTCAGACCTGTAGTATCCACAGTTAACACTCCTACGCATTTCCTATCTAAACTGATCAACAAGGCTCTTAAAGAATCCATAGACGTACCTAGATCACACATTAAAAAAAGTTTTGAATTAAAAAAACGTATCGAGAACATATACATTCCAACAGACCATATATTGGTATCTTTCGACGTAGTTTCACTATTTACAAGTATACCTAGATATTTAATACTTAACAGCATATATAAGAGTGTTAAGTGAGAACTTTTAAAAAATTCATCCTGATATATGTAATGTAAAACTTATATGTACTAGTATTATGTATAATCGCGCCGCGCGTATTAATTGTACACGTTAAGCACGCGTAAGCAGTTCGGCGGCCGCGTAGTAATGCGATGACGGTAGTAACACTCTCGCGTGGGATGACTGTATCGTCCACGCCTGACAAAGGCAGTCTAGCGCCAGAGCTAATCACGAGCAGACGTATTCTGTTCAGATTTACATACAGTTTTTATTCAGTTGCTTTCATATAGTTTTGATCTCAGATTTTTTTTGTCAGTCAGTTTTTTATTTATTGTTAAACTCATCAAATCAGTATATTCATATCCTTGCTATCAGCTATTAACGCATTATTATAAAATACACACACATATATATATATATATATATATATATATATATATATATATATATATACGTATACGGCGTACGTTCAGATCGATTACAGCATAATTACTTGTACAAGGATAACAGTTATTATAAGGACCAACAAAAAAAAAATAAAAGGATTATATATTACTGGACGAATATTTTGACAATATACACAATTATAACTATATAATTTCGAGGACAAACCTACTAATAATAATAGTAAATAAACTTCTAACAAGTAAGTAACTCAAGGTTCATTAGTGTAAACTATTTTCTTCTTACCTATTTTTTTTCTATAATAATAACAATATTTGGATTAATTACCATTTGGTAAATTTCCGCATATTCATTTTGTGTATAACTACATATATATATATATATACATATGTATATATGTAGACGTGTATCGTTCGTTAAATTTTTAATTATATTGGCTTCGGTATTTTGCTTTCGCGACTGTTTCCGTTTATTATCATAAATACCGGTCGCGCCAGAGTAACGCGATCTTCTCAATTACATAGCGTTATAGCCTACGCTGACTAAGTATTTAGAAATTAAGCACGTCCCCGGATAACATGATATGCATGTGTACAGGATAAACCGTACGTCTACGATATTTCGACAAGCTCGGTTCCAAGCTGCTAAAATTTCCGAGTAAACTTTAATTCGAACTTTATAAAGGACCCCTATATACATATATATATATTCCAGTTATTTGATTTTTTTTTATAAATATACTTATACGATTAAAATATATTTAATAATTAACTAGCGAGCGTTAAGTGAGCGGGGTCTCATGTATGCAGCAATACACCACATCGAGTTATAGTGTCGCTCGTTTGCTGGAAAGACACTAACAACATGTGTGTCTATTAGAATACACATAACAAATGGTAGCAGAGCGTGGTTCTAAATATACACCAGATTGATAGAGTTGGAAGCTCTGGTGAGAAGCATCAATGGCAACAGAAATTGGACCAATGGTGGCAACAGCTGCCTTGAGTTTTTCTTCATCTCCCTCTGGAATATCGACGAAACCAACGTCATCGGCACCGCTGTTTCTTGGGTTATAACGACACACGTCATCCTCGACCTCATAGGGGTAAGTGTTCTCGGTATCGATACCCTTGTTGTCTTTGATATATCTGAAGGCATTATCCATGAGACCACCATTGCAACCATTGTTACCGTATTTACCCGAACAGTCAATAAGATTCTGTTCACTCAAGGATACCAATTTGCCTGTTTGTCTAAAGTGCTGTCCTTCCAGTGCACCAGTTGCTGAAAAAGACCAGCATGAACCACAGTGTCCTTGGTCCTTAACTTCTGTAACAGCTCTTTCTTGCCTCCAGTCTACACTCTTTGGCAGTTCAACATGAGCTGGGGCAATGAATTTAGCTCCTACTGGTTTTTGATAACTTTGGAGCATACCTGGCTTAGTCTTGTTAAATCCATTCATGGTATGTACAAATTCATGATGAAGCATATCAGCATATTTGTTCATTCCCAATTTAAATGGTATCAGACCCTGCTCATACTTGGAATTGTGCTTTGCAATATGATGTTTATTTTCCATGAAGATCTTCATTCTGAACTTTTCTTCAATCTCATTTTGGTAGATTTTTTTATGTTGTACCTTGAAATTAGTCCATTCTGCTGATATCAGATCATTGATAGATACAGCCTGAGTGACAGCAACCAAGGCCACAAGTAAAACTACTAATATCTTTATGATAAAAGATTTTATCTGAAAATAAGTTGTTGATATCCATTGCAGATTTTATTTTATTTCATTTTATTTTACATTTTCAGCAGAACAAAGATATTATTTAAGGAAATCAAATATTTCAATACAATAGGCATTTGCAACTTATTTTAGTGTTAATCATCAGTGTTTAAAAAAGTTATAAATGAGCAATACAAGCAATCAACCACTATCCAAAAGCAATTGTAAAATACTTATTGCTCATGTATTTTATTCTTTTATTTTATATTACTGCCTGTTTATATATAACAAACTGCTTTAAAAAAATGTTCACTACGTATTTAAAACAAATTTTATTCTTTAAACTCATTGCAGTATTATAAATAGCATTTAACATTAATTAAAATTTTTTATTGAAGAAATATTCTAGAATTTTATTTTTTGGGATACAAAAATTCATATGACCAATAATTTTAACAGTAAAAATATAATCTTATATCATTAATGTTTAAGTCGTAATTATATAAACAAGTTGCATTTATTGAAAAAATTGTATAACTAATCACTATAAGACATTTCCAAGATTGATCAGTATTTAGTTTTTTTTACTTTGATAATTTAACAAAATTGAACGTTAACGTAAATGTTTCAAATTAAATTCAATCCACATAAACCCTAAACTCGACACGCAAAATATTCAATACACACTCGATCATACAATAATCACAATGTTTTGAAAATTGTCGCAAGTCAAAATAAAATATTCTACCGACAATTTAATAAGAAAAAAATAAAGATTGTTTCAATCATAACGCCCCAAGGACAAAACGGCCAGTTGAAACAAATTGGACAATACCAACGAGAATTAAGACCGAATCCGCCGTATAACCAACCGACGAATGCTGAGCCTTTAAACTCGCAAACGGCTCGTCCCGACATCAAGGTGACGAGCCTCGCAAAACCGACACAAACAATGATCGAGGAAGCCAAGGCAGTTCTGGCACAACTGGCAAACCAGCCGAGTCAGAAAGAGGGAATGCCATCGGCACCTGTAATGACAGTATTACAGAAACCCCTGGCTACCAGTATGGAGGACCAGGCGTCTGCATTGCCGCGAATCGGGGATCTGGCGATGGAGATTGTGAGATCCATGAGCCGACGAGAGTAAGGTTCTGTATACCTGAAACTAATCAAAAATGGACAGTATTTATGGTAGACAATGGCGCTTCAGTAAATATAATTAAATTTAAGACTCTGAGGTGGACAACGACTTTTAATCCGAGGGAAGCTACTTCGCTTAGTGGCATTACAGCTCATACAGTACCAACGTTGGGGACTGTTATGCTAAGCATAAATGGACGAAGTACTAAATTTCATATTGTTTGGGATAATTTTCCAATACAAGAAGACGGAATGTTGGGAAGAGCATTTCTGAAAACTACAAGGGCTGTGATATCTTATCACAACGATGCCTTAATGTTAAACAGCGATGTGATGAACCCAGTGCCGTTCCTGCCAGAGAATGTTCCAATAAACAATCTACGTAACGATCTTATCGCTATGTACCCCATCAAGTACCAAGAAATGCTGAAAGAAGGTAAAATACCTCCTTATGAAGGGGAGACCGATTCTTCTGAAATTAATGTAAATGATGTGAACATCAACCATAGCAAGGTAAAATATAAGATACCTGCAAGGTCGCGCCAAGTTATCCAAATAAACTTGGTACAGACAAATCTAGTGGAAGGTTATCTCCCCCGAATCAACGTAGGAGACGATCGAGTATATATGGGACAAGGAGTAGTAACAAACCAAAATGGAACTTGTAAAATTATGGCTGTTAATACTCATTTTGATAAAGACGTGACAATAGAAGTGGACCCGAGGATCATACTGCCATTCGAGCATATAAATCCCGAGGGTAGTTCGCCTTCGGAAAGTGAAAGCGAATGCACTACTCCACGGAATGCTGAAATACAACTCAAACAAAAATATAAGAGGCTACTTAAACTATTGAGAACAGGACATTTGGCACCAAACGAATACAGAAGTATTAAACGCTTGATAAAACAATACCCAAATGTATTTTTACTGCCAGGTGAGCCGTTACCATGTACAAGTATTATTGAACATGAAATTCATCTGGAAAACAATGTACCCATTAACACTAAACAATATCGACACCCACCGGCTCATAAGCAGTTTATAGAAGAACAAATTACGAAACGACTTAAGGATGGAATTATAGAGGAGTCAAATTCCCCTTATAATTCTCCTTTATGGATTGTACCGAAGAAAGCTGGAAGCGATGGCAAACCACGTTGGCGAATTGTGATAGACTTCCGTGAATTGAACAGTAGAACTATTGGAGACGCTTATCCTCTCCCTAACATCGCAGATATTTTAGACCAGCTAGGAGGCTGTACCTATTTTTCAACATTCGATCTTGCAAATGGCTTCCAACAAATTCCTTTGAAAGCCGAGGACAAAGCTAAAACTGCATTTTCTACTTTACGTGGACATTTTCAGTATATACGTATGCCCGAGGGTTTGGTGAACGCCCCGGCTACGTTTCAACGAATGATGGACCATTTACTAAGAGGATTGCTAAACGTCGAGATGCTAGTTTATCTCGATGATATAATAGTTTATGCAAAGGACTTGGATGATCACGAGAGAAAGGTCAGAAAACTATTCGAAAGATTGTCTAATGCAGGACTGGTCCTACAGCCGGACAAAGTAGAATTCTTGCGTAGAGAAGTCAAATTCCTAGGACATATAATTAGCAAACGAGGCGTGGAACCGGACCCAAAACTGGTCTCTGCGGTCATGGACTTTCCACGTCCAACCGGTGTAAAAAGTATCCGATCCTTTTTGGGACTATTAGGCTACTATCGACGTTTTATTAAAGATTACTCGAAAATAGCGAAACCACTGAGTGACCTAACTAAAAAGGACAGAGAATACGAATGGGGGCCCGAACAAGAAGAAGCTTTCAATACACTAAAAGAACTCCTATGTAAAGCTCCCATACTGACATTCCCCGATTTCGAGAAACCTTTCACTCTGACTACCGATGCTTCGGACTATGCTGTAGGGGCTATCCTATCGCAGGAAGTAGATGGTGTGGAGCGCCCGGTGGCATATCTATCGAGATTATTAAACAAATCAGAAAGAAATTATACGACGACAGAAAAGGAATGCATTTCATGTTTATATGCCATGAATCAATTCCGCCCATACCTGATGTGCAAGAAATTCACCCTAATAGCCGACCACGAGCCATTGAATTATATGCACAACCGTAAAGACCCAGGACAAAGATTGATGAGGTGGATGTTCAAGTTCACCGATTTTCAATACACCTTCAAATTTAAACCCGGTAAATTGAACTGCAATGCCGATTCACTTTCCCGCAACCCAGTGGACCTGAACGAGTATTTAAAAGAGAAAGAAAAGTGCGAACAGGATCTCAATGACAATACACCTAATATACAGGTAATGATGTTCAAGAAGTGGAAAGACAAATCAAAAGAACAAGAGGCCGCTAAAGAAAAGTTAGAGGAAGAAAAGAAAAGAATGCGCAAACGAGCAAACTCGATTGCTGGCGAACCTAGACCGATAGGTAGACCTTTAGGCTCTAAAACCAACAAACAAAAGCCAGAGTTGGAACATAGTGTGATAGCTGGGAGAACGAGGAGTAAAAATCCTGCTCCACTGACGACTGCCGCCGACCCACAGCCTAGTACATCCGGTCAAAGGTCAAAGGCAGGGACTAAATTGCCTACGGATAAAAGGAATCCTACGACACGAGCTTCGGGAACTAGACCGAAGATACCGCAAGGCCAAAATTCGAGTAATGCCTCGACTAACCGAGAAAGCGGAATTAGGACTGACACTTCCCGGAGGCCGCTGGTGAGGAAAGATACGCCTCTAACGACGTCTGAAATAAAAAAACATCCGAGAGTCCAAGAAATCCAGAGTCAGGTTGACACCGCAGGATCTTATGAGGCTCTAACGGACGAATCTAGTGTAGAAACCGATAAGATCGCTACTAAAAGCCCGACATTTTTTCAGAGATCTATGATGTCGTCGACGGGTATAGACGAAACAGACGTTAACACACGCAAACAAGGGAGTTCTGAAAGCGAACCCCCGATCCCAGATTTTACTCGGACTGGATTAAGGGAACAGGAGAAAACCGAAAGGTTAGAAGATTCAGCTCAAAATATACAGGACAAAACATTAGTTGAAAATACTGAATCGAGTACACAACAAACGTCGCAATCTGACGAAAGTGATGGATCGTTGGATATTGAAGTGACCGGACCTCAAACGAGTAATAACACTGACAGTACTAATGACGACGACGTCTTTGACAATAAACACGATTCTACCAAAAAGGAATTCGTGACCAACCTAACTCAAAATGAACTTGCAGAATCGTGTGCTAGGTTCGAGGAGAGTTTGAGACGGCATCGTAGTGCCGAAGACGTGACGTTTTATTGGGACAATAGAGATTTAGAACCGTACGAAATTAGCCACTTCTCTGATGGGGACGAAGTAGATCCTGAATTACAGAATGTGCTAGGAGAAATGGATCCATACAGTGACGAAAACTCGGACGAAGAAATGGAAAGAAGAATAAAAAAATTAGTGGAATTGTCGCAACATGCTGTGGAATCCGAAATAGAACAAAGAAATTCTGAACCTCAGAGCGATACAATAACGTCAGACAACGACTCTGTTCATATCAGTGAACGTGAAAAATCTAACGAAAGGGATGAGCTAATCCCTTTGCAGAGACGAGAACTATCGGTGACACCTAATGTGAAAATTGGTGAACCTAAAAGCCGAAGTACCCCATTAAATAAGGGACAAACGGGTATTAAATTTAAGGGACTCGAAGAAATACCGGAAGAAAAGGAAAGTGTAAATACCGAGACTACACAATCCCCGGTCGAATTGAATTTTTCGAAGGCTCCCATAGATGGTGACTTCTTTTTCATCCTGCCTAACGCAAAGGGACCCATAAGTCAGTATAAAAGATCTAGTGATTATAAAAATCCTAGCTCCTCAAATACAGAAGATAGCGAAACCCTTTTGGGTCCTGGGTATTTCGTTTTGCAAAATAATGTGAGAAACTCTCAACAATGCT